GTTCCTGCTCAAATCTCTGTCGTGTAGTTCTGGCAGGGCTGGTGACTGCAGGCTATGCAGCCAGAAACAGGTAATCCTGCTGCACTGCAGAATCCAGAATGCAGAATTCAGAATTCAGCAGCAACGCCAACCCCAATCCTGATCAAAGGTGGATCTGAACAGCCATTTTGCTTGATCAAGCTTTTGACACTGCAAACTAGAGGCTGTTAATTAACCGTCTTTACTATCTAAGCTTCTTTGATGTAGCTCTTAAATTGTTTCAAAGCTGTTGCACTTCTCTGAAAGAAAATATGAGATAGTAACAGAAAATTTGATGTGAAATAAGAGGTGGTCCCTCAAACCTGTGAATCTGTCACAAAACCATGAACTTGATGCTATCCCATCATAGAGGAGCCACAGCAGGCCCTGTTTTGGCCTCCTTCTTGATTTCCGGATATTGAAATTATCTTCCAGGCCCTTGCTTTCTTCTGCTGATTTCTTGCAAAGTATCATATTACTATCCTCTGTATGTAAAAAGGCTATTTTAAGTTGGTAGAAAAAGCTTTTGTTCGACTGCTGTTTAGAAAGTTGAAATTTTTCATCCTCCACTATTTTCAGAGAAACCTAACGCTGAATTTGGTGCCCAGAGTGTAATGCCGTGTTCACAGACAGGGACCTATAGAGCAGAGATTGTCCATGTCATCCGGTTCAAAACCTGCTGAGATGTCCTCTTGCCACAGTGCAGCACTGTATGCAAGTAACAGCTCACCATCTAGAAGAATTAAGACTGCACTGGCCAAGGACCAACAGCTTACTGGTCGTAAGCACAGTGCTCACTGGTGTAGGAGCAGAGCTGTATTCATCTCACAACCCTGGCCCAGGAAGTTTTGTCCTAAAACTCACTACATAGCACAGATACATCCCTCTTATTTCATTGATTTCTCTCAAGGTCAGGGTATAGCATCACATACGACCTCATGTGCTGCACACTAATTTAGCAGTGCTCCTGTTTACAGAGGTTCACTCGAGTGAATGATACTCCTGATGGAGCAAAGACACATAATGCAAATACATGTGGCTTGAAAAGCAAATAGACTATTTGCTTTTGAGCAGTTAATTTTGAGAAATTTTGAGAAATAGAGAAATTTTTACTTATCTCACTCCACACAGTGAAATAAAATGTTCAGCCTTTCAATTATTGGTAGTTTTTGAGAACTTTTGTCTTCTCATTCTATTGGTGAGGAAGAGCTGTGCTATAGTGTTTGCTATGTTGTTATTTTCTAATTTCAGAGTACATATTGCCACTGTCTGAAGTTGCACAGTAAATTCAGCCTCAGGCTCCTGTGATTAAGTTTTGTAGGTCCTGGTCCAAGCAAACTTCGGGGTAGAAATGATGAATTAATATCTGAAAATGCATCAAAGAAGAAAAGTTAAATAAATGGGAGGAATTTGTCTTTCTGCACTTCTGAAAATAATTTTTGTTAAATCTATATGCCTTTATCACATAGATCCTGAAGAAAGGAAGCATTTTATCATAAATTCCATGTGATGGCTTTGAATTCTGCTACCCTTTTGAGCCAAATATTCAAAATCAGTTTATCCCTTTGTGGACTAATTAAATAAACTTTTTCTGTGTCTTGTGTTGTCTCATATTTCCCCCTACTTCAATATTCTTTCTAAAGAAAACATGCAGACTGCAAAATTTGCACAGTGTATCTATAAGGTGTAAGTTAATGTGCCCTTCTGTGAACTTTCATATGGAAAATGTCAGTTACTTACATACCTAAACCATAGTAGACATTGACCTAATAATTCCTTCTTTAGAAAGGTTAGTGTGTAGGTTTTTTGATGATGTGTGAATTATTGAGATAACCTATTTGAGAGGTGGTGAAAGAGAAGAAAACCTTGCTCAAGTGGAAGATTTTTTTTTTAACATGAATATTTTAGCAAGTCAGAGTAATTTTTAAAGATATTCTACCAGTGACATGAGATAATTGAACAGTATCTTATCTATTTTAAAATGCCCTGATAATAATGGGAACTTGAATGCTAACTCTATGTGATACTACTTAGTTCCATGCTAATTAGAGCATTCTTTCTTGGATCTACATATCTTCCTTCCTTCCTTCCTTCCTTCCTTCCTTCCTTCCTTCCTTCCTTCCTTCCTTCCTTCCTTCCTTCCTTCCTTCCCCTCTCTCTCTCTCTCTCTCTGTTTCTTGTAATTAGTGGCATTGATTTATATAAAGCAAGTTTAATTAATGAAAAAAAGAAATTAAAATTTCTGTGCTCTCTGTTTTTTTTTTTTTTTTTTTTTTAACTCTATAATGTCACCAGCTTCTCCACAGGCAACATCCAGTGAATTTACCAGTTCTCCTGTCACTGATCATGTGGTTATTCCATTTAACTTTGAAATGACCAAGATCAACTACCAAAAAACAAACAAACAAAAATTCTAATAAGATTATAAGACTGTGTCAACTATGTATAATCGATGTTACTGTCTTTCTGTAAAAGTTACAATTACTTTTCATGCCAGTTAGCCCAACACCATAATTTAAGATTGTATCTGCGCTGCAGATTTTATTATTATTTTATTTTATTTTATTTTATTTTATTTTATTTTATTTTATTTTATTTTATTTTATTTTATTTTATTCTTAGGTGCATGCATTTTTGATGTTGCATTTTCTTTTTGGGCAGGGGTGGATTTTTTGCCTCCATCCAAATTGCCATACAGTAGTGGAGCCCTTTAATTAAGTCGGATGAAGCTCCATCAGATGGGCTAGTAACCGAAAGCACCCTTGAGCCAGCTGGGCTGTTGCTGTTATACTTTAATTAGGACTTCTAATATTTCATTCCATCCTGCCAGACGTGTGACCTGTCAAGTTGTGGAGAGGCGACTCGGCCTCGGCAGAGCTGCATCTCGGACCTTGCACTTGACTCTTGTCTATGTGCAATTTGTGTGCAGCCACTGGCGTGGTTGATGTGATCTTTTTTTCTATATGCGCTTGTTGTTGATAAGAGCAGGAAATCACAGATCTGTTAATACTAAAAATAATCAGATTTGTTAAATAGCTTGTCAAAATCCAGCTCTTATTACCTGACCCTAGTCTTTTAGTATTGGTCCCAGAGCAGCTTAGCGGGTTTGTTCTCCTGGGGTTTGGTTTATTCCAAAGTAGTTGGTATGGCTGTGACTTGCTATTATGCATGGGAATTGTGTTCAACCTGTATTGGGCAACTTCCTTCCCTCTTGCTGTATATGCAAAAAAGTGTGTATTTTGCAGCTGGAGCATTGAACCAAAGCTGCTACATTCCTATTGATACAGTTCCCAGAGGACACTGCAATATTTCATTCTCAAAGCTGCTTTCTCTCTAGTTTTGTTTTCTTCAACACATTTTTCCACTAGCCCATTTTCTTGGCATCAACAAAATGCACTTCTGTGTTAAAGACCACCTGAAGAAGTAAAACCCCTGAAGCTGGTGGACCAAAGGCAAAAGAAGCCAGATTTCTGTTTTGTGTAGCAAAGGTGTATATATGTGTACAGCAGAAATCTGCAAGTCACAGTTTGAAATCATGGAATGACCCTCCTCAGTCCTTTGAGGGAAAACAAACCTCTTGCAAATCAAAGGTGCAATAAAATCAGCTGTCTGTTTTCCAAAGGAATACATTTCTTTTTGAAGAAAAGTGAAATTATAGTTCATAAAATACACAATCAGATAAAATCTAACAATCTGTCTGTTTCTGTGTGAATTTTTATTCATCTTTGGAGCATCTTAAGGGCCTTATATATTTGATCTTTATAAAACTCAGTAGGAAATACACAAATAATGATTTTCTGGCCAAATTCTGGTTGCTTTCCTTTTGGATGTTAACTTCTTCTTGCTGGACATAGTTTGTTTGGCTTTCTGTGCTAATGTGTTCTGCTGCTGCTGTGAAGGTACGTGATCAGTGTGCTGTATTTTGTGGAGCTGAAATGTCCTCTATGAAGCCTCCCTTGTAGTAGTGCAGCTTGTAGGACTCTTTAACCAAGAGGCCACAACTGAAGTCTGGAAACTGTTCTTCAACATATGTACAGCATATGATGCACTTAGAGCAAATGCTCTCCCAGGGGAATTTAGAAGCTAACCAAGAATTTAATTAGAATATTTCTGTACACTGTAACTGTCTTAGCTGAAATTTGTATGCAGTAGGGAAAGTAGGAAAAGGCCTTTGGAAATCCTGTAGGAGGGCAAAACTGTTTTTTTAAAAAGATAAAATTCTGGCTTTGGACTGTGATCGTAACAAAAATGTTTCTACAATTTAATTGTAACAAATATGATACTACTTAATGAGTATTTTTTTAATAGGATAAATTTTAACTGGCAGTCAGACTTAGTCTACAAATCTAAATTTCATCAAAAAAATATATATATGAAAGGTCAGTGAGAAGAGTAGATCTGGTCTTGCCATGTTAGACTCCCAGCTAATGCAACATTAAAAATCTGAAAGTGAAAATCGAAACATCTAATGCTGGCCAAACAGTTTTAGTATTTTTTTAGCTAAAAAAATTAAGCAATTCAAAAACCTAGCAAATTATTGTTCTGTTTCTTTATACTATCAAAGGATATACTGATGAAAAATTTTATTTAGTGAAAAAATCAATTATTTGATTTTAAACAGAAAAAAAGATAGAAAAAAAATATTTCATACGCACAAAATTATTCTTAGGCTTCTCACCATTCTCTATAAAAGGACATTTTTGTTTTGAGTCTCTAGTTTGTAGTAAGTAACCCCAAGAAAAGTTATTCTCAGCAATCTAGTAAAAAGGAGAAAAAATTGATTTTACTTGATCTTCTTTGCCCAAAGGAATGCAAATAATGCATATATAGTTATAACCAACTTTGAATTTTATCATTCATATCATTCATTTATCATAATTATTTTTTTCTCATGATTGCTAAAACACAAAGAATTGTGTCCATGGTTCCTGCATAGCAGTAATCATTATAATATCTTTTTTCCTGCCTTTTCTCTTCTCTAGAGCTACATCTACAATGATCCCATTAGGTACTACATGAGTCAAAAGCCCAAAGAAAGTGCTCCTGCTTTGGCCCACACATCCACATCCCACCAACAACAGGCTGAAAATCTTCCTGGAAAGACCCTTAAGCAGCCGCTGCCGGACAAACTCCTACCAGAGTCAGAAATGGAGCTCGACCAAAATGCACTGATAGCCACCCTACACACGTACATCATGCAGAACCTGTCAGCACAGAGCAACGCCAAAAGCCCTCCCAGCAGGACTAAAGGGGCTCAGGTTTACGCTGGCAGGCTCTATCCTTCTCAAGTCAGTCATTCTGATGGCACTTTTACCAAAGCAAAAGCAGATTTTGAAATGAAGAGCCTGTTGCAGCCAAGACCTCCACCTGGAACGCTGGGACCAAGTTCAGAGATCCTGAACCAGAACAAACCAAAGGACCCTTTGAGCACAGTGGATGGTAAAGCTCATATTTATTTACTTAAACTAGTCTAAAATCTCCCTCATATTCACCGAGAATTTTTGAAAAAGACATAAATAGGCATTTTTATGTATCTCTTGCTATTGACATGTTCATTTTTTCTTCCAAAATGCTCACAGTAATTATGTTCATCATACTAACTGCTCTTTACTTACAAACATCTACCCACCTTCCATATGCATGCAGAAATACAGCTCTCCCTGTAACACCTATCACTTATATAACTCTTTATATTTTTGAAGTATTTTATAAACAATACATAATTATGGGAATATCTTTGCTGTCAAATCTGTTTTCTTGAAGGCATCCCACACCATATATAGATAAGATAGAACAACCTATTTTTTTCCCTTTTTAGGGATCATGTATTAAAATAAAAGTCAGCCAAAGAAATCAAAGCTGAAATAAAGTCTGGCACACAACACATAAAAAGTCTATCAATTATATGGATATGTGAACTTGCAGTAACACGAGAAGATGGGAGTTACAGCTAGCTTTCGCTGGGCAATGTGTAACAAACCATTTATCTGCTGGATTTTCATCTTTTTTTTGCTAATGCTACTTACCCATGACTAGATTTTGATTTCTTTTGTATATAATAGTTTGACAAATATTTGAATGAAGATGGTGTGTAACATCTCTTGGGATACTGTGATGCATTTCAAGTGCTGCTTTGTAAGTCAACATGAGTCTTCACGGCTGGGAATCATATAGAGTTTAGAAAATAACTCATTCCCTTTATTGTTTCTCTAAACTAACCTAGCTATTGATGTTATTCAAGTAGATCAGAATGCCTGAAAAATAAAATAATTGATCCTCAGACATTGCCAGGCAGCTACATCTGCTACAGTGTAGATAGCACCGTCCCGATCATCTAGATGATATGGAAGAGGGTTTCTTGGAATCCCTTCTGAAGTTAATATCATCCATAAAGTTTAGTGCTTGTTTGTTTGTCTATTTATTTATTTATTTATAATAAAACGCACAAAAATTCGAAGTTGCAGCAGAGGAAAAATAATGCATGCAATCTAAAGGGTGCTTGAAAGTGAAAGCATTCTTGGTATGGTGCCCAGAGATAACAGGTTTCAAGAAACGAGCTATAATGTAAAATCAAATCCAGGCGGCACTGCAAGTCTCTACCACAGGTTAGACAGTTTTGTTGCTAGACTCAAAATAAACTACGCACATGCTGGTTTCATTATCCTCCAGCTGTTCCACTTCACCTTTCCTGGTAGGAGCCAACAGGGAAAAAAATGCTTAACACTTAGAGGGAATAACATGTTTCACAATTCATTTGGTTGTGCTGCTTGGACTTCATGTGCATAAGGTGTCTTGTAGGAACATCTCCCGTTGCAATAGCTTTTAAATATCTTAAAATTATGAATTACTGGGAAGTGAATAGTATGGTTTGCTTTGCATTTTTGTGCCATTAAACAGTCACAAGGCAGTAGTGAGGACAGACACCAGTGCATACATAGTTTATAGTGGGAGCCTGTAGATTAATAATGAATTTGCCAGATTGTCTCGCTCTTCTCATTCTGTACCTGGTCTTGCTGCAAGCTCCCTGGCACTTTGGAGTTCTTCTGTGTTTGTGGGCTGTTCCTCTCCTGCGCTCCCCAAACCACAGGATGGTTCAATATTAGACAGCACACAAGGCAATCATGTGAGCTCCCAGCTCTGCTGCATGAAATTCAGGATTAAGAAGGAAAGCGAAGCTTGACTGGCAGAACAATCCAGAAGGTACTGAGCAGATTAGCACGGGAATTGCTGTGAAACAGCAGCAGGTAAATGAGTTAACAAGGCACCCTGAGGGAGAAATACAAGGGAAGGAAATCTGCAGCCATTTTTCTATCAGATTTGGAAACTATTACCTCTAGGAGAGCATGATGTGTGTGGATACTGCCTTTGTAGTCACTGTGCAGCAGTGGAAACATTAATCTGCCTTTTGCACCAGCCATATTTAGAGTTTGGCTCAGTTTTATCTTGAGCAATTTACCCTAATCTAATCATTTTTGATGTCTTAAATAGTGCAGAATGTATTTCTTAGCTGCTTTGGAAAGGCCACAAAATTAGTAATTCATTTTTTTGTTTGTTTTTACTTTCAATAGATAACAAACGTCTGCATTTATAGAGCAAAAATATTCCTGTATATCCTCTCTCTTGCCAATCTGTGGTCACCAGTCCAGGCAGTGCTCAGGACCTCCTGTTGTGGAGAGCTGATAGGTGGTCAATAGGCTGACGGGCTGGAAGCAGACAGCTCGCCCCTCGGGACTGCAGATCATACAGAAGGGCTGTACTGTGATTTCAGCAAAGTTTTATTCTTACTCCACCACTCCTCGCCGGGCAAACTGGCTTTGGCAGTTTCATCAGTGGAATATGCAGCTTGATTTAGGCACTGCGTGATAAATCTGTTTTCCTTTGCTAAGCAACTGTTCAAACTTAACAGGGTGAAATCTACTGGTAAAGTTGATATTACAAATTAGGTCATCTAAGATATATTTGTTTTTATTGTTATAGTAGCTATGAAAGGGAACTTGTCTTCTACATCCCAGAAGCTGGAGCTAAGGGAGAAATTTGGTTTACCATATAAGCTAACACGGTTGAGCATTAGCAGTTCTACTTAGAAGAGGATGGTGGGAGAGTAAAAAGACCATACTAGCTACACAGACATTCAAGTGTGCATGATCCTTAAGTGTGCTGTGCTTTTGCAATATCCACCTCTTTTTTATAATAATATTCTCTGATTTTAAGAAATCCCTAAGAAATATTTTAGGTTACCCAAAGGTGTTTGTAAATATAAATAAAAATGGTATTTCATTTTTTTCTTGTGTAATTCTTCCCCGCATCTCGCTTTCCATTTCCTTTGAGATTGAGAGTGCTTTGTTATCAACAATGAACCTGTGGAAGTGGAGTGGAGAGATAAGACTTTACTGAGATAATAGATATGGAGGAAAAAAAGTGAGTTTGGTAAAATGAAATGGAATTGAAATGACAAGGCTGTGTTGGCTGCCTGTTGTGCAGGAGCTCAGTAGTTGGTCTGACAGCTGGGTGCGATGCAACCCAAATGAGCAAACAAAAATCTGGTAGTGTTAAGTGAACACAGCTTGCTTACTTGTATAGGACCTGAAATAAAATTCTATATTCAAATTTTTCTTCAGATATTGAAGTAATGGCCAGTGACTGGCTTGAATAAAACTTTTTGAAAAACAATTAATGAAATATTTGAATACAACTCTAATGCAGAAGTTTCAAAGCAGCCTCTCTTGGCAGTCTGTTCCAGGGCTCTGTCACCCTCACTGTCAAGAAATTTTTCCTTAAGTTCCTGCAGAACTTTTGGTGCTTCAGTTTGTGGCCATTTCCTCTAGTTCTGTCAGTGGCCACCACTGAAGAGAGGCCAGCCCCCTCCTCCTCACTGCCTCCCTTGAGGTATTTATACACGCTGATCAGGTCCCCCCTCAGCCTCCTCTTCTCCAGGCTCAACAGGCCCAGCTCCCTCAGCCTTTGCTCATAGGGCAGATGTTCCAGGCCCCTGATCATCCTGGTAGCCCTGCGCTGGACTCTCTCCAGCAGCTCCACATCCCTCTTGTCCTGGGGAGCCCAGAACTGGACACAGTACAAAGTCAAAATATAATTCTCCGTCAAAAGATAAAAAATGTGGTTTTAATGATTGCTTCTCTTCTGAAGTTAAATAAATAAAAACATCTTCAAAAATATTTTAGGGAAGTAAGTAACCTTAAATCAGTCAGTGTTATGTAATATTTAGGAAACTCATCTTTAATGTGGGGAAACCATTCCCAAGGCTCTAAGCAATTGGCTGTATTAGATATTTTTTCCTTTGTCAAGAAGCAGTTTGTGATTTCTTACAAGCCTTTCATTCCTTACATAGATATTCTATATGGACATTCCATATTTACAATGAATTTAGAAATGAATTCTTGGATTGTACTAAAAAAAAAATTATTATCATTTGTAACTATTATGAGGACAGCTCAGTTTTTTTCCAAAATAATATTCAAGTTGATTGCAAAGCTTTCAAAATCTTGCTCATACATTGAATACTAACCTCTGCACATCAAGAGTTATTTGCATCAATAGATAAATAGCCAAAACTCTTGAAAAAATGAGTCAATGAAATCATTGTAGTTTTCCATTTCTTGTGGATTCACTGATGTCAGGTAATCAAACAGTGTTCCATGAATGTTTTCTCCTACTGTGATATGTCTTGCAAAATGTTTTATACATTGACTTGAAAAGTTTCAGGTTTCATTTGCAACTGATAACTATTCTGAGGGATTTTTTTTCCCCTTGCCTTTATCAGATCTGCTTCAACAGTCTAGGTTTTTCTATCTAAAGCCAGAAGTGATACCTAAACAGAGACAAGACTTTTGCAACAACCTAGGAACTCTGATATTTCCTGGAGCTTAATTTCCTGCATTGCTGCTGTGTGTTGCATCCGTTCCTAATGGCCATCATCCAGACAGGCTTCTTGAAAAAGTTTATTGAGCTCAGGTTGACAAAGTCTGATGAAAGCTTTTCCTCTAGTTTGAATCAATTTGCTCTTGCAGGTTTACTGATTATCTTTTTACTATATTATTAAATTTATAATGGGAGACAGATACAATGCAGTAAAATGTGGAAAGGAAAATATGCAGCCTGTGCAGTACAGTACTACTTACCTTTTGCCAAATTTCAGTCTTAATTCTTTTTGCCTCCAAATATATTGGCCTGAAGAGTTTGACATAGCTTTAAATTTAAGTTTTCAACTCTCTTCTTACTAAATCGAGTCTTTCAATTGTACAAAGCACTCTGCTACCACAGTCTTTGCTGGACGTCACAGTTTGAAAGAGCATTATAGATTTGACATCACTACATCTTTTTTACTAATATTTTACTAATATGAATTTGTTTAAAACTATGGTTTGTAAGGAAGTTTCAGAAGCATATATCCTCACCACTAGAATTTTATATCATCATCATGGTAGATTTTTAGAGGAAAGATGTATCCTTATGATCTGGTCAAACAAGTGCCTCCAAGACCACCTTCCCTTACATGTGGAAATCTTTTTCCAGTCACAGTGAAAGTGCTATTTAAGTTGCTTAGAATGTATTAGCTTGTACTGACTAAATAGTTTAGTGAAAACACTAGTTTAGTTGATTAATTATGGAGTAAATGGGAAGAAAATAATCTCTGCTCTGAGATGGCATCAAGAAGCTTGTGGTCATTTGCAGACACTAACTTCTGCTGCTAAACACCAGGAGACAGCAAAAAAAATGGTGGACATTTCCAAATTCCTAAATCTTTTCCAAATGAAAAGATTTTCATTTGGAAATCTTTTCATTTTCAAATGAAAAGATTTAGTCCTCTGCTCTTGCTCTCACAGATATTGAGTTGCTGTGTCTTTGGAGCAGAAGTATCTCTTTACTTTTTTTTCCCCTAGTACTGGGAGAAGCAAAATCTCCAGATCTTATCTTCCTTTTTCTAGAAATCCTTTCTCCTTTATATATCTACTTGTAAAGTCGCCTTTATGGTTTCCTGAAGACTAAGAGCGTGGTCCCAAAGGTGAATTGATGATAAACCTGCCACAGTGCATTAGAGAGGAATGTTACCAGAAGAGGAAAGGCTGCATATGGCCTTCTCAGTGCTTACATACACATTTCTACATTCAACGGAGATTTGAAAGCAGTGTATAACTCCATCAATGAATTTCATGTGCTTCCAATCTTTTATTCTTATGCAGTATTACATATTTGAAAGCGAGTTTGCTTGCATGCGTATATGGTAAATTAGTGATCAGTATGAAAAGGCGGAACAGAGGCATGCCTGAAAATGATTTTAACAAGTTAAACAAGTTTTCTCCAATGGAAATGAGGATGAGCCTTGTAAGCAATGTAGAGCGACACTAAAAGATATATGAAGATGGCTAAGTACCTTCCCTAAATAACATCTTTTAACCTATAATATATATTGTCCTTGAATTTTCTCATCTTTACAACTTATTTTTCACTTTTTTCTTAACTTTTTTTTTTTTCCTGACCGTATATGTGACATTTCATCAACATCCCAGCCTGGAATGTCATCTTACATTTCTTTCCTTAACCTGACAGATAAAGCATTCCCCTTCCATTCCATTTTGTTTATAGCTGGCAAATCAAACAGTATTTGGCAAAATTCTCATTTGAAAAAAAATAATATATATAGCCCAAGAGAAATCAATATGATTGATAAAATGGGTCCTTTACATATCCATATTTGAAATATTTCTAAGTGGAGAGAAGTATTCTGTTTAAAAGACAAAATACCTTTCTTTTCCTAAACAGTATACATCTTTGCACCCTATTAAAAAAATCCGGCAAAGAAACATGCTTACTAATGAATAATAGTGTTACTTATGTCAACATAGTGCATCTAAATAAATGTTGAGCTATCCTAGCTGTTGAATTCAGTATTTTGAGGCCTTTTGGACTAGGAAACCATGCTGTGCTTATAAATAAAAAGTGACAGTTTTATACTGATGTGTCCAGGACAGCTTGCTAGGTTGTATGCTGTACATCCCCCAGTGCCTGGCACAGGTTGGCCTTGTCATAAATTCAAAATCCTTTTATAATAATGTGGTTCCTGTAATGGCAATACCCAACTTCACTCTGCGCCAGTTCCTCAATGGGGGACGAAACAGTAAGGAAACTATATTTTTAGGAAAAATGGAAGATATCTATTGATAGAGGCATATGCACTTCTTGTATGCAGCTAAATCTTGTGCTTATGTTGTTTTATGATTCAGAAACACTTATTAAGGATGTATTGAAGAATCTGGAGAAACATCAGGTGCATGTGGAGAACCTGAGCTCTTTGGAACTGGATGAAATCGCTGATACTATTGCAGATGCAATTCAAGGTGTTGACATACAAGAAGAAAGGGAAGAGGATGCTGGAAAATCTAGAGAAGATGAAACAGGCAGAGAAAAGAAGAAAGGAGATGCACAAGGAAGGGCAGAAGTTCAGACTGGAATAATGAAGAACAATGTTAACATAGCAGGTATTAACTCAGAGAGCTAAATAAATCAAGACATAGATACACAATTTTTCCTTTCCTTTTTATTTCTTTTTATTTTTTTTTTACTAGTTTTAAAGGAGAAAGGAAGGAAATATTTCCATTTTTTTGTTTTTGTTTTTTTTTTATAAGGCTACAAAATTTAAATTTCATGTTTCCTTTTTACAGTGAATGCTTTATTTACCTGAAATCATCTGTTTGTGAAAGCTTGGTCTTCAAGGCTCGTAAACAAGATAAAACTACACACTCAATTACATTGAAAGAGGAATTGCTTTATGCTGTGTGGTCTTATTTCCTATTCTTGAAAATGAGATATTTAAACAAAATGATAATGAAAAATGGTTATATTTCAGAAATGTGTTTCAAAATATGTGAAAAATATCATGTGTTTTGCAGATAATCATTCTTTAATGTACCGTAATTACTTGCAGAAGAAAGTTTTAGACAGATGCGTATATAAAACAACTTATTTCCTTTTCCTACTGGAGAGCAAAGAGAATTATTATGGTTATTTCCTTCTGTTGGGACACAAATTTTCATGGCAATGCAAATTCAGAAGCTGCAGTAATTGCCATTAATGAGTCAACACTTAGCACAGTGGGACATAAGTTACAACTTACCCATTCTCTCTTTTAGGAATGTTGTATCAAAAACACCAAAACCATGTGAAATGTATGACAAAAAGTGCTATTTACATTACTGTCTTTTATTTCCTGTCAATAGTGGGAGAGTGATTGACAATAGCAATATACTGAAATCCTTATTGGTCAGGGGTATTCTGATTATTTAAATTGCTGATTCTGTCTGCAGATTGAAATGAGCGGTCATGTGGGTTTGTCTGTGAGAAATAAGACAGTTCATAAACTAAAAAGCCAAAGTTATTTAACTGAAGTTAATGACGTAACTTCCTATCATCACTATAGTTAAAATATAGCATATTTCTGGTATATAGATACAAATCCTCTTTTTCTACTAAAATGTGAGTGGTGTAGATCTTTTTTTTTTTTTTTTTGCTTAATGTAAATATGATGTCCTTTCTGCCAACTAGAATCACTTTATTGTTTTTGGGGGGTATTGACAAATGATGTGAAGATCAGCCACTTAATTAGCAAAATAACATTATTACATTGGCTCTTGCAGCACTATTTCTATTGATCTTGCATTAATTTTCTGTCTATGTAGAACTACAATAACCATAATGAATTATACTGTGCTCTTTCCTGTGCCCTTTCAGCTATAATGTCTTAATGTTTAAACTGCATTAAAAAGGCTGTCGTTACATATAATGCTGCCTATGAGCAGCATTTGTTTCATATATATGCATTTCTGTTATAATTATACCTATATGCTTTCCACATCCTACAGATAACGAAGTACATGAAGCCACTGCCAAAACTGATAAAGAGGTAGAGTACCAATATTTTAACAACAAAGCAAGTATTTCATCTCAATATATCAGTTTTATATAAAATAAGGATTAGAAGTACAGATCAAAATCTTAAAAATAATTTAATATTTTATGTGGGTATAATTCAATTTTATAGCATAAGCATATTGTTGATGCAATGAAAAATTGAAAGAAGATTTTTCTAATCCTTAACCAAAATATCTGTATCAATTAAAAAAAAGAGGATAAAAAGAAGAAGAAGAAGGAAAAAAGCTAGTCCTATTTATTTTTCCTTTATTTCAATTAAAGCTTTAATACATAGACAAAATCTACAACAGATCCCTAAGGTGAGACTTTTCCTCTTAGTGGATTTGGAGTGTTCAGACATTCCACTGAAAATACTTTTTTTCATCTCTCTCAGTTCTGGGCAATGCAAGCATCTTGCTCATGCAATCTCTCAGATTTTGAGAGGCAGATGAGTAAACACATTCCCTCTGAGAGTTCATTTGTATGGGAGGATTCAAAATTTCATTTTCATTCATGAGATCTGCTGATTTTTACTTTTTCACTGTCAAATCTGCAGTTAATTCTTCAGAATTGTGGAATATTAGACATACTTCAAAAGCTGTAGACCATACCCTCGGTGGTAACATCAACTTTGGAATTCTAATCCAAATTACATTTATAATATTCCTCATAAACTTTGATCCATATCTTACAGACTTATAGTCCTATATTTTGCCTTTTTATTTTTTGAGATCATTTTATCTTTCTGATTCTGGATTGCGTGGAGTAGAAATATCTCAAAGAAATGCTTTCAAAGACTAAATTGAAAAATCTCCTGCTATATACTCTGAAATAGCTACCCTGCAAGCTAGCCTAGACTGCAAGGCCCATAAATAAGCAAATCCTCTGATGATCACAGGCAAGGAAAACACAGAAATGGACACTCTGGCAGGAGTTGAAACTGCCCACATGAAAACTTCAGAGGAATGAAGCACTGCAGTCATAATTGTCCTATGGAGGATCCCATGCATAGATTTCTCAGTGACAGTTTTAATAGGGAATATGACAGAAAAGAATGTTGTAACACAGAGCACAGAGTCCATAAGCCATTATCTCCTCCCAAATGCCTAGCTGTAATGTGTTTTTAATCTACTTTTATATTCAGAAAATAGCAAATGAATTCTCTAGGGATGCATTTTGATTTTTGCTTATTTGCTCATTGTTTCAGTTTATTATAGTAATTGTATCGTATTTTTAACTTAGTGGATCAGTCACAAAGATTTTTTTCACAACTATTTCTAGAGATGAATAAGTGAAATATAGTTTGTCACCTAAGACCTGTTTCCTTTCCTATATTATAACTTACAAGACCCAGAAGAGAAGCATGTACTTCCAGTCCCAACTCTTAGGGACATTGATGGGTATCTGTATCATTTCTCCTTTTTATCAAATTATTTGATAGTAAAGTTTTATTCACATCCATACTCTCTCTGACATACAAATAAATACTGCATTGCAGTAAGGCTTCAAAGGATTAGATCCAGGTTTTGTTCTTCATAACTTTTCTGTGTTTAGTTTTACAAATACTAATATTCTTTTAATACAGGAGAAAACTGCAAAACTAGTTAACTTCTTGAATGAGAATGCATTACCTGAAAATATGCCTAAAGAACTTATACCTGAAGAGTCTACTAAGACAGAAACCAAGAAATCTGAAGATACTGACTCTCCCTCTTCTTCCTCAGAAGAAATAAATGCTGGTGTGGAAAACGTAAAAAGTGAGACTTTCTCAAGGGAACTGACAGCTGCAAAGAACACGGACTCTGACTCTAAAGAGCTGAGTGAGACCCGCTACTGGATGCAGACTGCTTTGATGAAGGATGAAAATCCCTATGAAGAGCTTCAGAAAAAGACAGGACATGACTTACAGCTTGAAGTGAAATCTTTCAAAGAGAATGACTATGGCTATATTGTGACAGCGAAAGAGTAAGTATAGCAACCAATTTGAATGGCATTTTCAAATGGAGAAAATATAAAGTGATTGCACCCAATAAAATATAAATGTAAAAGAGGAAAATGCCACAGGCCTAATTTTTAATACATCTGAAACTGTTTGCATCTAGTTCAGTACTTTGATGAAAATATAAGAAAGGAGTTCTGCTCTCTAACAGTTGCCTATTCTCCTGTATGGAAGATATTTAATTTGTAGACCTCACTCTCTATCTTCTTATGTTCCAGTGACCTTCCAATATGTCAGTAAGTGTGCTTATGGTTGGGATGTGGGCTTTAAATATTTGACTTGAAAGTAGCCTAAATATCAATGCCTGAGTCATTCTTTGAAAAAATGACACACAATAATAAAGCACAATATTTTTTCTGTAGATTCATTTTGATCTGAAAATAACACAAATAGGAATCCACACATCACATATGCAGCTAGTTGGAAAAGAAAGACCTAGTGATTTAAGGTCATGTCACTAATGAACTTGACATTTAATACTTTATTTTCAAAAGGCAGCTTTTTCCCCCTAGTGATGCACAATTTATCAAGGGAACATTTAGGTGTTTATGATGTGGGCACCATGACTTTCTCTTCCTTGCGCCAAGAGCAATATTACTTCTCATCTTGCCTGAGAAATTAGGAAATTCTAGTACAAGCTTACAAATCCCTGTACCATCCTATACTGCTTTACAATGCATGTGTCTGGGCACCAAAGAGGATGGCTTCTTGTTTGCCTTTTTCCATGGGATCTGGTGGGGGCAGATGGCATCAAGAAGAATGAATCACATTTACTGGGGAAGGATTTTAAAAAGTGCATGGAGGAGTAGGCATAAGAGAGTGAAAATGGAGGCCTGGCAGCCTGCAAATATGAGAGAGAGACAGATGCAGAGACAGAGACTTCTCAAAAATCAGGAAGCAAACAGTCCTTTCTTCAGAGATAACAGGAAAGAAGATTTTTTATATGGACTCATTGGCTTGCAGAAACTTTTGCATAATATTACATACATATTATATTTGCATATAATATTACATTAAAATCCTTGTATTGATGTTGTTTTTTGTTGTTTTAGCAGAAATAGTTCTAGTTCACCTTCTAAAGAAACTCAGATCTAGAGTTTAGAAAAGACCCTTTGGGAGTTTTGGAATATTAACTTTAAAGAGATTTCCAGTTGATTTAGGAGTCTTCTCACATTTATGTGACCTTACGTCTATCTATAGCTATTATTAATCATTATTTAATCTTCAAGTGCTTCAGATTTAATTAACTGGTTTTAAACTTGTTTTGTGGTCACATTAAATTGTTGATTTTCACTGACTGGTTCTTACAGCAGACTTCTCATTCTCAAGAATCTCTTTCTGATGAAAGCAGGAAGATTATTTAACAGGATGGTTATTTAACAGATTATTCTCCCACTCTTTTGTCTAGGCTATGTTCTCTCTTTGCAAAGGAAGCACTCAGGAGTTTCCTTCTAAGTCTGTCAGAAATTGGTGACAGTGCCTTACTAGGCCACTTCCTTTGGTTCCTGCCTGCAGATACTCTTTGAAGCAGTAGCAGCTAGTTTTCCCTCATGTTTTGCAATATCGATCTGGAAGGTACCTTATTGTATCCCAGTAGAATCATGTCCCTTCACCATGATGATTTCTTTGGCCTCAAAAATCTCCAGAAGCTCTCACAGCTCTGTATAAAGGGTGATGTTCTGACTTTCAACCTTCACAACATATCAATTCTCCATCTGTTATCAGTTTTTCTTCTTAGATAGCTCCCAAAGGGTTTTTTTTTTTTTTTTCCCACCACAATTTATGTCTTTTATCATTTAGTGACTCTTGTGGAAGAGAGTTGTTTTGGAAAAGCCTCCTGCTCCTACAAGATTCAAAGGCTGAGAGAGCTGGGTCTGTTCAGCCTGGAGAAGAGGAGGCTGAGGGGGGACCTGATCAGCGTGTATAAATACCTCAAGGGAGGCAGTGAGGAGGAGGGGGGCAGCCTCTTTTCAGTGGTGGGCAGGGATAGGACTAGAGGAAATGGCTTCAAACTGAAGCATCGGAAGTTCCACAGGAACTTAAGGAAGCATTTCTTCACTGTGAGGGTGACAAAGCACTGGAACAGGCTGCCCAGAGAGGTTGTGGAGTCTCCTTCTTTGGAGATCTTTAAAACCCGCTTGGATGCAGCCCTGTGCCACGTGCTCTAGGTGACCCTGCGTGAGCAGGGGGGTTGGACTCGATGACCTCTGAGGTCCCTTCCAACCTTCGGCATTCTATGATTCTATGATTCTATGATTCCATATACCCTCTCATGTAACTGAGCATACATCCTTTACCTCCTTTACATTTTACTTCAAGAAAGAGGAAAGGTGCATTTTATTACATGTTTAGAATTTTTCAAGCAAGATGCTTTTCAAGGTACATTGAGATGCTGTTAAAAATGCTCAGAAGCTACATGAAAGACTGAAATGTTTTTGGTGAAACTTCCTCAAATGTTCTGGACTCAAAAATGTAAAGTCCATAAAATCAATTTTTGTATTTAGAGCTAACTGGCTTATTATGAGAAGCATATATTCTCTGTAGCTAGTCAACTCAACTGATAGCTTGTCACTGCCCTCTTAGAACTTTTTGAACTGTTAGATTTCATGTTCTCCAAAGTCATCTTACAGAAAATGGGAATATGCTTTCAAGCTTTTTTCCAGTTCTTAATCTAGAATGAGTTAATTGGTGAAAAGAGCAAGCTGATTAAATTGAACTAAAGAAAAAAATCCTTTTGTACCAGGATTGCATTGCACTCAATCTCCAGCAAGCAGCTTATGGTTCAGGGTTCTCAGACAGTGACTCCTAATAATTCAGTCATTTGACTTTCTTTAGAATTCTTGCTGCCATTTTATTTTTACGTTATAGTAATGGATAGGTCTTCTTAGGCTGCTATCAGTTCTTTGTTTTTAATGGTATTAACTGGAATGTAAGAATAAAATTAAAACCTCATACTTTGAAAAATACATTTTTATACATTCTGGACTTCCATAATATAACAATATATAACAAAATTATTACAGGAAATTCTGCATGCTAAAAACAGATCTGTCCATACTGCATGAGCAATTAGATATTTTCTACAGTATCTGATTAACTTATTGCTTATTTCTACTTCCCACAACCATTTCCTTAGTACATAAAGTGGCTGTAGAGAGCAATTGGACCAGTCTACCTGATAGTAATCAAGTTGCTATAATTATATTTAATCTTGAGGGAGACAGGGTAGAGAACACAATGATCTTTGTTAACTATCGCTACACAGAGAGCAATTTTGGTGTCCATTTAATGAGCATTTCTTCAGTAAGTTTCCTCCATAGGTAAGTTTTCATACTGTAAATCTTACTTGCTGTTTCCAGTAAATAAATAGTAATAATAAATGGCTTTGCTATATGGGTATGTTACACATTTATGCACAATTGTATATGCACATTGCATTCATACTGTGAAATGAGGGAGCTAGAACTATCCTAGAAAGATCTTTAATCGGTATCTCTCTAAAATAATATCTACTTCTTAAGTGATTGCAGTCTCTAAGTGCTCAGGAAATTAATGTCACAAGTGGTTTTTGATACTTTGTATCTAAGTTTTTATACTTTTAAAAAAGTTCTCTATTTTGTGCAACTTTACAAGTTGAAGCTGAAGGTAGGCATAGAATACATCTTTCCAATAGTTCAAGTTTTAGGTAGAATCCCATATTAAATATCTTTCTTGGAGAAACTGGCACATGTAAGATTACCAAAGGTTACTATTTAGGATCTGATTTTTTTTTTTTTTTTTGATCCAGTCATAATTTCTGCCTATTAAATGAAATGCTAAAATGAAACATTAGCGTCACTTATTTGTTTTTGAATACTATTATTCTATATATTTTTCATCCTCCTCCACCTAAAACAATAGATCATAGTTCCAACACATCAACTTTTATTGGCCAGGATTTTTTTTTTGAGTAGCAGAGCTTCATTTTTACAGCTGAAACTGTGCTCTTTTGGTGAGAGAGGAAAGTAGTCCAACATATTTGTACACCGGGGATAATAGCAAGAGTTCTTTTCACCTTTTGATCTGAAAATAGAACTGAAAAGATTATACTCAGTGGTATAGTTGACAGATGTCAGGGGTGATCCATTCACTATTAAATTCTCAGGCTACCATGGCTTTGCAAGCGTGACCCAAAGAGATATTAAGACTGCTTCAGTGAACTCCTAAGATGCCAGCTTTTAATTGTGCCACAAAGCAAAGATAAACATTTCCATGTAATACTTGAAGAAAAGATTTGTGATAGTTTAAAGGCTTGTCAAAACGGCAGTCTGTTTGTCAATGGTAAGAACAATAGGTCACTCCTGCTGTGTTCGTCTAGTGACCTTTCAGATGGTTGGAGCACTGCAATCCATACCAATCCATAATATCCATCAGCACTAATCTTAGGAAAGAATTGACAGTTTCAGTGTAGAAAATTGTCCAGCAAATCCTCCACGGTGCTGCTTCAGCACTTTATTATGCTGAGAAACCAATCAAAATGGGTGATTTACTTCGTTCACTCTTGCCTCCTTCAAAAAAATTGGAATTCTGTGGAATTTATGTGTGTGAGAGGTTTGATTCTTTCTCAGTGTATCTCTTTTCTAACCGATTCTCCTCATGTTAACTTTGAAATTCTAAGTTGTTTTTACAAGGCAAATTATTTACAGGATGTTGCTTTCAGCTGTATGCCACTTAGTGCCATTGTTGCAAAATGTTTCCCATTATAGCAAGAATAGGTTAATGGGAAACCTCTAATTAGAGAAGTTTTTGCCTGTTTTTGGACCAAAGTAATCTTCCAATTTTCTGAATTTTCACTTCTTGTTTTCAAGTATAGTAAACTTACTAATTGGAAAAAAATGTCAGCCTAGGGCTCACGGTTGGCATATGATGTCACATAATAAAAATGCTCATTTGTCTGGGAGAACATGTTCTAAACCGCGGGCGAAAA